CACTCACTCACTCACTCACTCACTCACTCACTCACTCACTCACTCACTCACTCACTCACTCACTCACTCACTCACTCACTCACTCACTCACTCACTCACTCACTCACTCACTCACTCACTCACTCACTCACTCACTCACTCACTCACTCACTCACTCACTCACTCACTCACTCACTCACTCACTCACTCACTCACTCACTCACTCACTCACTCACTCACTCACTCACTCACTCACTCACTCACTCACTCACTCACTCACTCACTCACTCACTCAGCCACTCACTCAAAATATTATCAATTAATTAACTTTGTTAGTATTTATTAATCTAAAATTTGATATTTCATTTATAATCTAAAAATGATTTTTTTATGTAATACATATTTAAAAGATAGTGAAAGTAATTAATTAATGCCTATTCAACTAACTAATTAATTTGCCAATTATTTCAAATAAGTTATTCTAATTAATAGTATATTTATTTATAATTTTCTATAATAAATTTTCTATAGTTTACTTTAATAATTTGAGTTCAATAAAAAAAACCTTGAAATACTAATGATATTTGATAGAAAAACTTTAATAATTGAGAGCAAATAATTGCCAACTCATTTRGTCGGCTGTAATAAATAAAATTAACACTGAATTACTTGATAGCCAAACAATTTATACAACCAAATAATGTTTTTGGTATATATATATATATAGTATATAGTATATAGCCATTACAAATAAACTCAGATTTATATTATATAATATAACTTAACACTCAAACAAACATTAAAGATGTGTCACTGAATGTATAAGAGACAAGAATATTGTGTCACAACAAACATAACACACAATATTCARTATAAGTAGAGTATTGGAGTAAAAGTTGATAATAAACTCACAGTTGTTTTATATGTGAAGGATTTGCGCAAATATTGACAAAAATGTTTGTATAATACACACTGTGTTTATGATTTTTTTTGTAAGATTTTTGCGTCTTTATTAGTTATGGTAGTTATTTAATATATACTTTATTATATATATATATATATATTTAATATATAATTTATTATTACATTCTATATTATATATATACATATATTCAATATTACGGTACTATATATTATAATATTATATTATTATATATTATTAATATATACAATATTGTACAATATAGTATATTTAAATGTAGTAATAGATTTAATAAAATATTAAATTTTTTAGATGTTTCAAATCAAAATAGTTATATTATTTTTATTGCGAAATTAACAATTTTTAATTAACAAATATATTCATATAAAATAATTTATTCTATATTATACTTCATTCTAGATTATTATGTATTTAAATGCAGAAATAAATTAGTTAACTAATATAAAAGTGAAACTAATTATAACATTATCTCATTATTAATATAAATTTTATATAAAATATACAATAACTTAATATACAATATAAATACATATTATGCAAATAGAAGTACCCGTACTTAACAAATATTAATAAATATATTTTGTATACAGTATYATATTTTTCGCATATTTATAATGTCTTATTATAATTGTTATGTACAATGACCACAGTATACAATAAATTTTATAATCGTAATAATAATAAAACCATTTTTAAAATAAAATATTTTACATTATATTTCTAAACACAAATATAAATCATATTTAAAAACAATAACGATAATAGTTTTCAGGAAATTACTAACACATTGGAAAACATACATTGAATTCAGGCATAAAAGTTATTAATCATCATTTATGGCTACAATATTATATACCAAATGCTCTTTATTAATGTTAATGATWTTGACCTCAAATTGATACCCATAGCCAACAAAATACTTTTCACTTATGTTTATAAACTATATACTGTATATATATATATTAATACTCTATACTATGATATTACAGTCTATTAGTATATCAATATTTTTGTCTAGATAAGCTTATATATATATATATATATATGTGTGTGTGTGTGTGTATGCGGGTATATAACAGTCTTTATAAAAATAATCCTATTTTGTATGTAAAGTCGAGTACAGTGTATGTTATTATAGTTGAACTTTTAATAAAACCATTGTTTGGTAATTCTATAGTCAATAAATAAATAAAAATTCTGTGAACTGAAGCCAATTTGTCAAAGTTATTATAAAAAGCTATTTTTGCAATAAAATCCGATTTTMATTTATAACTAATATTTTTGCAAACAATTTTTATAATACACTAAATATATACACAATTATATACAAAAAGTTTTAATGATATTTATATAATATTTGCCATAAGATTATTAAAATTTATTTTATTACTGCTAAATCAGGAATATTTTGTCAATTTCACGGAATTRATYTAATCTTTTAATAAGGAAATTAAAATATTGAGTATAAATTGTTATGAAATTAAATTTTTAATAACCACCAATATAAATAAAGTGTTTAGATATGAAAATATTTAATATTTTGTTTTTTATAACAAAATTTTAATTAAATGGAATATTTAAAAAATGATTAATTAAATAATTATTATAAAATATTTTTTTTATAATAATATTTACAATACACMAATTAAATATAATTACATATTTTATAAATTCTTATAAAATTAATTTATTTATATATATTATATTTAGGTTCACAACACAAGTAAGTGTTTAGACGGCTGATGAACCTAAAGACACGTCAACATAGACTTGATGTTGAAAATAAGATTTTTATTTATTGGGTTAACGAAAGACAAATGATAAATACTAGTGAATGTTAAGCGACTATTAATTGCCGCATTGATTACATAACAATTTTGTTGGCAAACTTAATATATAAAAAATTGTTATCTCAAGTAATATTATCAAAATAATCGTTATTGTTTAGTCAGAAAAATTGGGTTCAAGTTATTTATATTAGAAATTTTTTATGGTCTAGCTAAATTATTTAGTCTAATAACATTTTTTCTAATTTAACAATAACTACAGTATTAATCAATTCTTAAATTATCTACTTATTGAATGTTATTTATTTTTTAATAATAAATGATAATTGTTTTTAAAAAATAAATTTGGAAATTTTAATTAGTAAATTAAATTTATTGTTTGATTTGCTGATAAAGCTTATATATATTAACAATTGTTAAAAATATCATGTTTAAATAGTTATATACAGTATATACTGTAATATATACATTATAAACAATTTATAGTCGTGTTTTGTTATAGTTATGCCAAATATTTGTATATTTATTATATATTTGTTATTTAATATAGAATTTGTAAAACAAATATTCAATATACAAAATAATAATATTAAATCTATAGCTTTTACAGATTGTTAAATACTGTATACATTTAAAAAAAACAAATAGTAATATATGAAAAAATAATTATGTTAATTTATTATTTTAAAATAATTGAATTTTGAAAAACTTGTAATTTATAATAATTATAAAATTAAACATAAATATATGAATAATAAATTGAATACATTGACATACAAATGTCACAATAATTAATTATGGATCAACAAATGTGACATGGATGATTATTATGTGATGAGATAAAATGAAAACCAATTAATCAAATTAAACATCAGTATATCATACTATGTTTTTTTCAATAGTTGCCATCAATTATACAGTACAGTGCCATACAATTTACAAGAAATATTTAATCAAAAAATAAAAAACATAAAAAACATAAGAAACTATCAATAATTAAATTATAAATACAAAATTCAATGTTTGCTGTGGCGGCTAATTAAACGCCAAAGGCTTTTGCCTAATACTAACAAAATTTTTATTATAAATTTCTATGTGTTTGTATTGTTATTAATTCTTCAATTATGTCATGTATTGTATACTTTAATTAAGCATTTTGTTTGATTTTTATACTGTATTATGTTTTTACTTAACTATAAAAGTTGCTAACTTTGTGATATTTTAGTATATWCCGGATAGTAATTTAGTTTTTTTATTGTTATTTTTTTATTTTATAAAAATATTAATTAAATTAGTGTTTWTACAGTAATATAATAAAAAAACAAAATACATTATTATATAACTAAATTTTATAAAGACTTATGTTATTTGATTTTAAATAAATAGTATTTTAAATTATAATTTTAATTACTTTAATTACGTAAAATAAATTTTTGTATCATATATCAAAAATGTTAATTAATTTATGATATACATTTACACAGAAAAAATTATAATATTTCATAAATGGCAAGAGATATCATAATATAATAATATAAATAATATTAGATTATATAATATATATAATAAGATACAGACTGTATCATACAGTCATATACATAATACTAATAAATACTGTATATAAAAATAATTTAATGGTAACTTATTTTTGTTTATGCATTTTGTGAAACGTATTATAATAATTTTATTTACACTTTTGTGAATATATTTATATTTTATACATTTTAAAATTTTAAGTGCAGTATTTTAAAGCATTTTAATATATTTAAGTAAACTCAATACACTTTATCCGATTAGTGATACACATTATTATTATTATTATTGAAAATTAAAAAATATCTAAACTTAAGTATTAAATTGAGTTTTAAACTTATTAGATTATATTATTATACATCAATGAGTTTTATCTATTATATATTAAAATTATGTGTTTATTAACTTTAAGTACATTAAGTGTAGAATAATTAATATAAATATAATATAAAATTATACATTTATAATTATAATTATAAAATAATGTGAATACGTGAGTGCTGATTCACAATTACACAAAATAAATGTTTACATTTAATCTCATRTCTCACCAAAAAAATTTATAATAAATTGCTAGTCTTTTAAGTAAACAAATTGATATGATCCCCGTCATTGAAATATATATTATTAATATATACACCAAAAATATTTAGACAAATATTGCTATTATTAAATAGAATAACATTTTTATCAACTGATAGTTTTGACATTGGATTTCAAAGTTTAATGATTTCCACTATATTTTTTGGAAATGCTGTTGATTTTTAATTTTATGCAATTATTGTAATTTTGTAAATAAAAATAATTATAATAATGTATAAATTTGCTTAGTTTTTAAAACAAGTATTTTTTAATTTAATCATTTTATTTATATTCGATTGTTTTTTATTTATCTTCAACATAATAATTATATTATACAAATGTGGATATCATATTCAATAGTAATTTTATTAATAGTGTCGTTGTTTGAGATCCCAGTGTCGACACTTGACTTTTGTGAGACTTATTTAGAAAACGGTCAGCAAATTCACTACGGATTTAGACGACTAAAACTGGATGAAAGGGATTCAGTTTATTACATGTTTATTGGCACCCATTACTGGGACCTGGAGTTTGACAACAATATCGATCACACACTTAAATCGGTTAGTTTGTGGCGCACAGAGAGCAGACAATCTCAGCACTGGTACGGAAGTCATTATTCAATGGCTCTGTGTTTGTGGCGACCAATAGAACAGTACTGTGTTTTTGGACTCATAAATGTAACTAATTTTAAGCTAAGAAATCTAACCGTCCTTTTTTATACAATAAATTGTTTTTATTATTTATTATTGTTTGTTTGATTTTATTTAACAATCAGAGTAATAAAACGCTAATAGACTTCAGGGTACGTGTGCCACATGCACAACATGATCGTAGGGTCAAAGGTTACGACAAGATAGCCGAAACCAGTATCGAGTTTAACGATAATTTTGATCCGTCGATAGTATTTGTGCCAAACGGTGGACAGTTTACAGGAAAATATGCAGTTTTTGTTGAACAAAAAAGTGTCAGTTTTAATCATTTTGTAACAAACACTCGGTTGTATGAGTTTGACGACAATTTTAAGGGCCGTTATGTCGTATGTAACCTAACCTATTGCGATGATATCTATCCAAAAGTACTCACAGAATTAGACCAAAATCTGGTACTGTTGTCTGTTTGGGGTCAGGAAGGGTTGGCTAGAAATAAAAACTTAACACTTGGATATATTAATGGATTAATGTTAGTCTTCAAGTTTGACAAAATTATCAAATATTGTTGGACACCCGACACCAAACTAAGTGATAATGTGAGCCTTTAATACTGTGTTTGTTTGTTTATTAATTATGTAAAACTCATAAATTGATTTTATTTATGTAAAATTTTTAGTGCAAAACTGCAAATTTAAAGACATTGATTGACTGTACCAATACTACAGTCAATATTATAACAACAACACCCGAAACCCAACAACACCAACATATATATATCAACGACACGGACATTGAATTGTTAGAAAACTTTCCTAACTTTTCCGAAGACGTTGTTACCACCGATCCACTAGTAATTAATGATGATATAACTGCCCAACCATTAGGAAGTGATGATAGTTATAATAAACACGACAACACCGTTGCCAGTAAAGCCTGGATTTATGCTATCGTTGGCATCACTGCACTGGTAGTCTCCTTATTAATAGGTGCAGTAATTTATAAGGCCATCAAATACAGTAAGTGTTAACACCCATTGAACGTGAAAATCATAACAAAAATAATAATCATAATCATAAAAAATATAAACCCTATTATAAATCAATTTATAGATTTTCTATTATTGTTTCTATAGTAGGATTTAGTGTATAATTTTTTATTTATTACTATTTATTTTATATATTTTATGTGTTTGTGTTTCCGACTGTTGTTTAATAATCACATAAAAAACAAAACCAATGAAGAAATTAACAAAAACAACGGTGATATCGATCTGGAAGTACTGGAAGATCAACTGTCAGAAGTGGTAGCCGAAGGTCAGACTAATGACAATTGTGCCGAAAATCCCAAATAATAATAATAAATATATTTTGTGACACTTAGAGACTTAGAGACATTAATTTTGTGAATTAAAACTAAAATAACTGTTAATCAATTGTCTCTTGAAGTGCAAATTAATAATAATTTTTACACTTTTTTATAATTTTTTTTATAGAAAAATTTAATAAATGGATTGCAAAGGCGATATATTTTATCCAATTTTCGTTTTAATAAAAAAGTTTTATAATTATAAGTATTTTTAGTATTTAATAAAAAAATAAATAAAAAATATTTAATCTTATTTATTTTAATATATTATAGCAAACAATTTTATAACAAGATAAATAAAACTTTTAGAGAGTTTATCTTTATATTATACAATGTAATATATGTATAAATACACTGTATTATAATTTATATACAGTAGAAATAAGTAATTTTATAATAAAATTATATTATTCACAAAATAGACAAATTTATATATATATATATATATATATATATATATATATATTGCTTAATTTTATCGCTTTTAGTTTAAATAGGATATTATAAAATAAGTTTAATATTAAAAGAATCAATTTAATTTATAATAAAAAACTTTTATGAAAATAGTTAACAATAAAAAATTTATGTCTTATCTTTTATTAAAAATGAAAATATTATATAACATGAATAATTTTATTATAAATGACCTTTATCAGAAATAATAAATTTAATATAAATTAAAAATAATATTTATCTGCCATTTTTATAATGCATTATTTTGACTATATTTTTCAATAAAAAAAATTATACAATGTATATAATTTCAAATGATTCATCAGTATCAATCTTATATACTGTATATATAGTATTAAGATTATTATAAAATATATTATAAAAAAAGTGTTATGCATTGTTGAGTTAACCTTCAAAACTAGTTTTTATCTCTTAATGTAATGTTTGATTGAAACATTCAATGGCTTAAACCAATGGATTGTATACAATGTAATACATTTAGGTTGTATTACACCTAAGACACAAACCAAACCCATGTTTAAGTGTGTGCTATACATAAAGTTTAGTCACTTTCCCTGAAATTTCTTAAATATTATTATTTTCGTAGTGTTTTTCTCGGAAAAAATAATAGCAAACAATATAAATGAATGATTGCATTATTATATCGACAAAACGAGTTATTTATCTATTATATATTTTCTAGACATAAATTTTTAAAATAATATAAATTCAATGCTATCTTAGATTAAGATTTTATAAAAAAAAATTTCCTTTTGATATTAGTTTGTATTTTATTATCACTATATAGTAAAATGGTTAAATTAAAAACAAAAAAAATATTTTTAGGTAAATATTATTAAAATTAAAGAATATTTTGTTTACTAATTATCTACTAATTTACTAATTAATTCTATTTTAAATATAATAGTATTGAACACAATATTATCTTATTTTCAAGAATTTTGTAATTGTGTTCACTTTTGTGATGCATTTGTGAATAACAAGCATAGCATAGGATATGCTATAAAACAAATCAAACTGAGAGCACCTGAATCTATGCCCTATCTGTTCATAGATAGTAACTATTGGGATATAGACTTTACCTACAATCGGGTCAATAGATCAGAGACAATGATGTTAAAGACAGAGAGTCGACACTCCAAATGGTTGAACAATCAATACTCAATGGCTTTTTGCTTGTGGAGACCTTTTCAACAATACTGTGTTTATGGACTTATAAATGTAAGTTAAGGTTTTAATTAAAATATTTTTAAATATTAATATTTTAATATTATATTATATTTGTTTACAGCTAAATAAAACACTAATTGATTTTAAGTTAAGAATAGGTCAGTCTGAAAACGAGTACAAAATTAAAGAATTTCTCACAATTAACAAAACAAATGTAGAATTTGTTAATTTTAAACCATCACTCGCTTATGTACCAAATAGTCAACAATACACTGGAAAGTATGTAATATTTGTTGAACAAATACCTCGTAATCGGATAGGGTTTCACACAAATAGTCGTTTGTATGAATTTGATAACAACTTAAACGGAAGACCACTTAATGAAAGTAAATGGCAACATCTGAAGGGTCTATCCCTCAAACAATTGGATCCAAGTTTGAAAATCTTAACAATAATAGCACAGGAAAGTTGGCTTTCAAAGGGTGATGGCTTCCTTTTGGAGCCAATTGATGGCATAATTATAATATTTCAAATAAATCATATTATTAAATATTGTTGGACTCCTGAACAATATCTAAGTAATAATGTAAGTAATTACTGTCAATAAAAATAATATTTTTTTAGAGAAACTATAAATTGTTTATATTTATTTAGTGTCAACCAAATAATTTAAAACTTTTAATTGACTGCACTGATTATATCACAAACAATGAGTGGAAATTCATTAATTATTTTAAAGTTTGTATAAAATCTATACATAACATGAATCGGGAAACTATATATGGATTGTTGGCATCAATTACCACATTTACCATCGTTTGCCAATTATATTGTTTATATCAATATAAAAACGGTACTATAATTTGAACAATACATTATATTCATTAATTTAATTAATATTTAATTATATATATATTTTTAATATTCATAGATATATCTAAAAATGCCAAAAACATATATACTATTTTTTAATAAATGAAATATTTGGGAAAAATGTATATTATAAGGAATTATGCGCTGAGAAACTATTTTATATACAATATTGTCAAATAATCTGTGATAATAGCCAATGGATGGACACACCCTGGTTTTAATGTCAATGATTGGTTGCTTTTATTAAACCGGATTAAAATTACAGCATTCAATAAATATATATTAATTTTTATATTTCTATGCAATAGACAAAAAAAATAGTTATATAATGTCAGGTATTTTTATCAAATTTCAACACTTATTTTATAATATTATACTAATTTTTATGCTATCAATTTTCACTATACTGTAGACATGGAAAATGTACAATATTAAACTAAATAATTTATTAATTTTATCATTTGTAGCTTATAATAATGCAAATCTCATACAAATTATTTCAATATACCATTTGTTAAATTTTTTTTTAATAATAAAAAGAGTTTGACTATCATGTATTATAGCTAAAGTTTGCTAAATTGATATAATATAATGTTATCATATAATACAATACTATTATTATAAGTAAAATGTTTTATAACTTAATTTATAAAATTCTGATAATAAATAATGTATAATTTCATAATCTTAAATATTCAAAAAAATGAAAATGTTGTAAATGCAAAATTTGTAATATATATCATATATATAAATAACTGAAGTTTTTACGTTTTTAAATAAAATTATAAAATTTATGAATAATATTAATTTTTGTTGATATTGTCAAATATTATATATATTTGTGATTTTATTAGAAAAAACATCATTAATTAATATAAATGATAAATGATTTTAAAATGTTTGAATATTAATCAATTCAAATGAATGCAAATATTTTCTTTAAAATATTAATATAAAACAGTCAATAATTAATAAAAATTTATATGCATTTACCTAATTATAAATATTTTAGAAATTTATTATTTTTGTATATTGATTATCTATTATTTTAGTAAAAAATAAAAATAATGATGCTAATGTTGATAATAATTATTTTTATTATAAATATAAGTTTAATAAAGTTAAATATTTTCTATAATTAAATTTAAATAAATGTTAATTATAACAGATGTGTTTATGTAATAAATTTCAACAAAAATGATTAATTCTGTTTACTCATAATTAATGTATGTTTACATTGGGTATCAATTTAAGTAATTTTAAAGTTTTAATTAACTTTACCAACAAATAGTTTGTAAAACAAATTCAGACTCTCTCTCTCTCTCTCTTTCTCTCTCTCTCTCTCTCTCTCTCTCTCTCTCTCTCTCTCTCTTTCACACACATACACATTAAAGACACCAAAATAAAATGAAACAAAAAATTTCTCATTTGACAACTCAGTTGAGAATTATAACATTAGATTATAAACCAAGCATTTAATGACATTTATTAAGACATTTGTTAAATAGCATTATCCGAGACATTAATTCCTGTGATCACAATTGACATCACACTTAAGTAATCATTTAAAAGGATCTAATTTGTTGATAATTACAGTTATAAAAAATAATTTTTCACAAAATGTGAGATAATTCACAAAAAAATGATTTCAATTGATCTAATTATAAGTTATTTTAACTATTTCCGGCTCTTTATAACTTTAAATTATTTCAAAAATTTTGTAATTAAACTTTAGTTTTAACAATAATAATCGTCTAAATTTAGATTTATTTTATAAACAGAAAATTGTAGTTTAAGTATATTTTATCGTAAAAACATTTTTATAGCAAATAATTTCCAAAAAAAATAATAATAAACTAATTTAAATACAATGAGACAATTATCATTATATTTTGAACAAATACGGGGTTTTTGTCTATTTAAATAAAATAAATTAAACAAATGTTTCAAATAAAAACTATTGACTATTTGAAGCTTATATTATATAAATGTCAAAAATATACAAATAAAATTATTATATATATTATTAATATTAATACTTACATATTTTTGTAAAAATAAAATTATTAAATATCAATATACATATATTATTTAATTGTTCATAAAATAAATTGATAAAAATAATGAGTTTATTAAATGATATTTATATTAAAATTAAATAATTATAGCAAAGTTATGAAATAAAGTTTTTTAAAAGAATCACTTAAAACAATTAAAATCACTAAATAATAAGTAATACTGATTTTATTTTTCAAAAATTAAAAAATTAATAAATAACAAAATATTTTATATAAAACATAATCATTTAAAACACTTGAAAACAATAAAATATATATTTTTTGATGAAAAAAGAGAAAAATCTTGATTTTAAATGAATGTCAGACACGGAATGAGCCGATCATTGGAGGCTTGATTTGGGTGACGATATGTCCACTGTATGCCATGCGCTCATCCATTTACATAACTATCCATTAGTTTTAAGTTTATATATATATTTATATAAGTTTAAGTGAAATAAAGCTATAATTCATTGAATGAATAAAAAAATTTTAAAATTTTACTATTAATTCCAATGCCATTAATCAAATATAGTATACTTATAATATTTTATGAATTTTTCAGTCATATATACAGTGTATACTTATAAACTTTAATTTATATTATTTATTATTCAATAAATGTGTCTTAAAATTCAAAGCCATATGCAGATTTAATTATAAAATTATCGCATAAAAATATAAAACATGTTAAATAGGATTATTTTTACGTATGGTTGAATGAAATTTTAAAATTAATATACAAAATAATAGTAAATTATATAAAAACATTTACTTTTAATAAAACTTTATTATCATTTTTAAAAATCCAAAATACTTTATTTCTTCTTTACTGAAATTTTAGTTTATTTGTTGAGTAAAACTAACTATAAGTGACATAATTCTTACCAAATGAGTGATATCTGATGTATTGGTGGTCTTCTCTCAATAATTGGTATCAATTTTAATGACTCGTATTTTTTCATCGTTGACCATAACGACAGCCGACTCGTTAAGACCGCCACAATATTTACTGCTACTGAACACTGTTAGACATTTGCCTCCCATATGAAAGGCGTAACCATTTGGTATGACTTCGTGGGCGCGGATGACATGACTGAGTTGATTGACGGATAAAAACTTGTCGAGCGCTTCGTCAGAGTAATAGAAAGCTGTTCCTCGTTTAGTGTTCGGTAGGAAACCCGTGAAATTGTTGACACTGTGTCCGTGATGTTGACGTAACACTTCTTGGTAGTCGCGGAACTCCTGACTGGTCACCGGATCGTTCCACAGGATCTGCCACGCAATCTGACTCTCGTTTTCTGGTTCTCGCAGTGGAATCGGTATTGAACTCAATTCATGTAATCTGAGTGCCGATGTGGGTATACCTCCGTGTGCACAGAATATGCTGTCATCAATGACGGCACAGATCGGCATAAAGTCAAAGACTTTATTAAAAGTTTCCCAAAGCTTTTGACCATCGATTGCACCGAACTTTTCGACGCACTCTTTGCTGAATGTAAACGAAGAGTTAACTGATCTCAACTCATGGTTTCCTCGGAGTAGAAAATATTTGTTGGGACACAAAACCTTATGACACAATAGATATGTTATGCATTCAATGCTATAGTCTCCTCTGTCCACGTAATCGCCTAAAAATAAGAAATTGGAGGCAACACATGTCGGTCCCATTTTCCATAGACTGCGCTCGTATATCATGAGGTCGTGTAGATTGCCGTGAATGTCGCCCAACACGAACACTGGTGATGACACATGTATGACACGACTTTCCCTTTGAAATACTGTCACCGCCTCTTCGCACAGTTTTGTCAATTTATCTAAACCTTTGAGTCTTCCTTTTTGATTCGTCCAATTGATAGTATTGTCTCCTGTAGGTCCAGCTCCGGTACGACCAGTTGCGGCCATTCCTCCGCCATTTTGACCAATGTTTTGTCCGCCACCTGTCCTGTCAAAGTTGAATAGCAAACGACTGAATTCCCGCAAAGAATCCAAAATAATGTTAGCATTGGTTTTATCAGTGAAGCACTGGTTGGACATCTTTTTCAGTGTTTTGTTCATACGTTTAATATCCGACTGATTCCTATTTTCTTGCGGCTCAACAATAAACCCACTGATCGATAGGCGCACCGTATGGACAGCTAATGTATAGTTCTTTAGACGACATTTGGGACAACTGCCCACTACTTGTTCCTGTTGTTTAAGTGATGGCGTCTCTTTGAGAGACAACGATTCAAACACTTGTTTGTTGCGAAACTCTTGTAGTGGCGAAATGGACGACCGATACAACTTAGAGGTTCCTCTAATTATTTTCTCTCCGACGGCTTTATAAAACTTTTGTCTTTTGAGACCACCCGACTCGACACCGATTAATTGATACACTTTTTTCAGTTCTTCATCCAATCCTTTTGAATCGGTTTTGTTTTCTGTGAGCCGGATATCAAAAAGCAATTTTATCATCTCTTCGTCAGTCAGACCTTTGGAACAGTTGGTGATCGCATAGTAGAAGTATAAAAAACTGGCTCTAATTTCACCTACTTTTCCTCCATGGATTGCATTCATGTCGAGCGCACACATTCCCAATAGAAGTTCATTGAATGTCACATATGGTTTGTCTCTGGCCATCGACCGAAACAGAGCCCAACTGTCCATTGTATACGACGATTCACTTTTGCCGGGAAGTGACAACTTTGTCATATAGTCTATGAAAGCCTTAAAACCCATTATATTAGACGGCGCGCACTGTTGTAAGTATTGTTCATACAATTTAATTATATCTTTTTCAGTAACGCCGACACATTTGATTAGCTCTTCCTGAGATGTCTGTCCTTTAATCTCTTTTGGCGTATATCTCATGATCTGTTTGAGACTGATTTCGTAAAAATTTTCTTTAATTGGCGATCTGTTCGCTAAGATATCGGCCAATATTGAAGGTTCAGCTCCCCACACATCACAACTGTTTGACACGTTTTGAATTGGCACCCATTGATAGCCGACGGGAGTATCAAAACATTTGGCTGTTTCGGACACGTGTTTCACTTCAGCTTCAAATACAAACAGTTTTACGGATTCATTGTATTGCGGAATAGCAGCCATTGATCCATACATTTGATATCGTTGTTTAATGTCGACACAAGCCTTCAATTTTTTCAAATCATCAGCAATGGGTGCAATCAATTCCTTATAACTGTCACTCCATGTCTGTCCCTTCTTGACCGCTGCCCACGGGAACCATTGACCACATTTCGATGGACTAATTTGTTTCAAAGCCATAGTCATATGTTGGCGACAAATCATTAGAATAGCCACAGTGTTGTGAACGTCCACACCATAACTGATGATAGTTTTACTGTCATCCGCGCCCTCGGGTTGGCTACTATTGGTTGTGGTATACTTTCCACTGGTCTGATCGGTCACTGATATTGTTGATTCAGTTGATGGCTTTCGCGGAGCATTCAAACCGGACTGTCTTTTCTCGTTTCTATCATCTCTGGATTGACTGTCACTACTGTTCTTCATAATTAACTGTTTGATGGATTGATATATTTAGTGGTCTTCACTGTCTGTGATTATAAGGGGAATCACTTGAGTTTTGAGATCAGTTTTCGACTATTTGATAATTTTTCAGTTTAAAAAAACAATTAAAATTTTTAATTTTAAGCTTTTAGATGAATTTTCACGCAACTTAACAATGGATGTAATTAAAAATTATTTGATAATATCATTAGCTCGCAGTACTTTAATTCACACTTTAAAACAATTATTTTTCATTATTATTAAATGTTAAATAAAACAGTTATTTACTGAACCACTAAAACCGTTATAAATATTTTAGAAACTAACAAAATATTATTTTAATTAAAGTCTAATATTATAAGTGTTTGCCTTAAACTGTGTTTTATACTTAGTTTGTCTTTTTTTGGTCATAAATCAAATATTTCAATTGATACCACAAAATAATTTATAAGCACTGGTATGTCGAGACACGAAGCAGTTATAATGGCAGCCGAGGCCAACAAGAAAGCCGAGTCAGGTCACTACTACGCGGCCATTGAACTATACTCGCGGGCCATCGATTTATATCCATTTGATTACCGATTTTATTTGAATCGCGCCTATTGTTATGAAAAGATAGATCTCTTTCATTTGGCGTTTACCGACTCAGAGGAGGCCATCAAACAGCAGCCAAATATCGAGAAGTGTTACTTTCGAAAGGCTCGGGCATTGACTGGACTTCGAGAGTATCAGAGAGCAGAGGAAACATATAAAATGGTATTAAAAACAAACCCCAATTGTCCGGAAACAAGACGAGACTTAATACAAGTTCGTTGTGAAGCACTACAGGATATGGGCTTTGATCGAGAAATGGCCATCAAATCAGCGATGACTTCAGACTCAATTCGTGAAGCCATTGACCAACTACTGGCCACCGCTGCAACTAATGAAGACGTCTATAACAATGCCAATCAATTACCAGTTGATAACTATGTTGACGCAAACACTGCCAATAATAACGGTTACACTTCGGATTTGACCGCCGATGATGACAACAGTGATGACAATAACGACACTTTTCCCAATCTAACGAGTATTGGCGGAGAGGATTTGACCACTCAATATGAACCGGGTTTTCGATATGCAGACAAAGCCCGTAAATGGGCTCAAGTGGTTGAATCGATACCAACACAATCATCGGATATTCCGCCGCAAAAAGCGAAGACAAACTTAGAAATCAACGATTACTTAAAGCCAACGAACCAAATGACAGCTCCGGTGGTCTTGAGATCCGACGATAGACTACATAAGCCGACAAACATTTGGAATTATAACGGACTGAGAGTAGAGAACGTGATCGCAGACTACAAGAAAGCACTTCTCAAGAGATTCAGTGTCTACGGCAAAGTCAAATCACTGGAACCGATGCGCAATTCGCGGACCACTATTTGGGTATACTATGACAATCCTGTGTCGCCCGTGGAGGCCATCGCCGGTTTACAAGGTGTCGCTTTGGCCGACATTTGTTGCTATCAAAGGGGCGAACCGTTGCCAATTCGGCTGTACTTTGCGCCGACCAATGACCAGCCGGAGCTCAAGTTTTGTCGACCGAAACAACCGGCAGATAATAAGGGTGAGTGTTATTACTGGCGGACAACTAACTGTAGTCTCGATGACAAGTGTCAGCTCTTACACATCGACGCCAATAAACACATCGACGCTCAGGTTTGGATGAAAACCAGAGATTCAAAGGCTGTCTAAATAAATGATAAAAAAACAACTATTCCTCAAAACCTAACCGTTTGAAAACTCATTTTATTTTCTCACTAATTAATTGGTTAAACAAAACTAATTCATAATTTTATTATTATTATTATTTTTCTCAATGAATTCATTTATTTATTAATAATTTTTTTTAATTATAAAAATATCATATAATTTATTTTAAGAAAAAAATACCATATTTTATATCTTAACTTTGATATCATATTTTATGTATAAACTTTAATTTTCTTTAAAAAAATATAAATATATGTTTATATAATTATAAAAAAAATATAAATGAATTGAAATTTGTTTTTAATAATTTGTAATATAATTTAGATTTAACTTTAAAAATGTAGTTAATTTGCAAATTATTAATTAATTACATTCACACCTATAGATGGCATAACTATTTAGATCAATACACTAAACAATATCAAACAAACAGTGCTAACTATAGTACTGATAACAGTTGATAGATAACACATTTATCTAACACTCGTTAACAATAATAACAACAACAACAACATGAGTGCCAATAGTTTTGTTGTTATCAATGAAATGTTGATAAAAGTTATTATTTAATGATTTATTTATTAATTACAATAAAAACAAATTGATTGACTAAATGATGCAAACGTTAAGACAACACTTTACACGCGATATTCAGCACACGTGCACTAAAAGTACGTACAAAGTAATGATAGTATAGTTAAGTTTCAAAATGTCGTCCAATCACTTGAATTGATCCAATTGTTTTCAAACCATTATCACCGAAATCGGCGCTAATTTATAAACAAAAAGTATTGAATTAAAAAACTTTTACAACAAATATAACTATTAATTGTTTGGTTGTGACTATCGATTGTGTCGGCAATCGCCGACCGCACGGATAATGAGTCGGCGGACGAAAAAAGAGTGGCAATTAGTGATACGGGTCTACAAACAACTAGAAGTGATCTACAAAAATGGTATCCGACGGGTGACGCCAGTGTTTATACGGCCAGTAAATCATGTCTACTATTCGGGCAAAACGGTACCTAAAATGGTATGCACTGACCAAACGTATTGTAAGTTTATCCGCGAAACACAACAAAAAATCAATGAAGACTATTATGAAGTGTTTGGTATGACTTCTCTTCGGCGACAACTGACAACAACCTGTGAAAAACATGAGACCAGCGATGTTGACTCCGACGGTAATGATGACCACCAACTAGTGATTGAAGACATTAAACCTAATATTAATAATTTGGATAAACAATTGACTTCTGAAAGACAAAACCAGTCCATTGATGAACTAGAAGTCATAGATCTCGTCTCGGATTCCGATGACGACAACGACGAAAGAAATGAAGACAACGGCGATGACAACAGTATTATTTTGGATATACCTGAAGATAATCAAACAATTATTAACAAAAATAGTCGACAAGTTTGCCGATCAAAACCAGTCTCGTCGTCGACAACAACAACGACATCCAACACATCTTCAGTTTCGACCGACAAACGAACGGCCACTAAGAGGAAGGCTTATAATACACATCAATTAGACTCACAATTAGACATCAATTCACATAAAAAGAAGAAAAAGAAACGAAAAAAGAGATACAGTTAGTCATAGTATTGATTATTGTTTAACAAATTGTTTTTTTGTCGATTATATTTGTAATGGTTTTTAATATTATTTTTACAGTATATTCTTATTAATTATATATTTATTAATATTATTGTAGTTTTTAAATCATTAACATTTTTAAGTATATTACCGGTAATATCATATTTTTCATTTTACATTATATCAAAATCATTTTTTTAAAATTAAACCATAAATTAAACCCATGTCTAATTATTTTTATAAAACTATTTATATATATTTGATTTATGGTATGGTATAAATAAAGATAAATTTTAATATGTTATTTTTTGAGTTATAAAATAAGTTAAATTAGTAAAAATATTTAGATTTAATGAATATGCTCATTCATATACAAATAATTGATCCAAATTATAAAATAGTATAAATTAGTTTTAGTATTATTTATGAAATTATATAGTGATTGAATGTAAAAATTAAATTTAACAACTTTTTTTGAGTAATTTTTTAAAGTAATAAAATTTTATTATAAATTAAAAATTTTATGTAACAATTAGTATAAATCACATTACCGGACAAATGGCTGGTCCATCAACTGGTCAGGTAGTATCTGATGAAGAAAGACATCTTCTCAGTCAAAATGGCTATGATATTGGTCCAACACTCGGTTCCGGTAGAATGGGTGTAGTTTACAAGGGTGTGTGTAATGACAGAGCCTATAAATTTTATCCCAATCAAGGTCTGGAACCGGTAGTCAACGCCCGTACTTTTACTGACAACGAAAACAATGTTTATATTGAGAGATCACTTTCTGGCAAACTATGTGCCATAAAGCGTCTCAAAGAGCCGATGTCGCGCTCCGGTATGGATGAGGCACAACATCTGGTGCTATTAAATCATCCAAATATTGTCGAGTTCTACACAACGTTGACTTTGATGGGACACCAGTATATAGTTCTCGAGTATCTCAACGGCGGATCACTGGCAGACTGTTTGCGCGAAATGCAGCGCAAGAATCGCCGGTTTGTCGATTGGCAGGTGAGCTCAATATACCGACAGCTGCTCTTTGGGTTACAGTTTGCTCATCAAAACAATATTATACATAAGGATCTACAGTTTGGTAACATTATGTTTCATATACCAGATTCACGACAACCCGATCGACGAGTGGTCAAACTTGTAGACTTTGGCGCCGCAGAAGAGAGTACAACCAAAACTCGTGGCAGAGGTGTCACCGAAACCAGTGATATCTGGCGTCTGGCGCCAGCATTTCGGGCAATACTTAATCAGTCAATTATTCGTACGCCGGGAACTGAACAACAGCTAAGAACTATTGTGGCAAAAATGGATGAGAAAAGGTATGTAAACATTGAACAAGTGTTGACTGAGTTGCAACCAGTGTTGGATCAAATGCCACCCGAGCCCACACAGGAAACAGGTCTTACCCGTGCAAGTGTTATGGAAAGACTATTATATAGATTTCATAGACAACAACGACAACAAAAATGAATAAATTATTATTATTATTATTATTTAATATATTAATTATGATTATAAGCCGTCCACATCACCACCTTTTCTAAAGTCAGAATTAGCGTAAAACAAATTATTATATCTATTAATAGCCATAACTATAGCACCCCTTTCTTGTCCCAAATCTTCAGTCTTATGACCTAATCTTTTGAGTCCTTCTAAGATATCTTTAGGAAAGTTGCTCTCATAGATGATCTTATTTGGCCATAACTGATGATGAAGTCGTGGCCAATCAATAGCCTGTTTGATTGTTTCATTCATCCACAGATGTCTGATTGCAACGACTGCCACTCCAGTTATTATTTTGGTGCCACCGCTCGCACCGATAATAAGTCGTACGTTACCCGTCGGTTCAACAAATATTGACGGACACATTGAACTGAGAGGACGTTTGTATGGCTGAATAAGGTTGTGGTCAGACGGCGGCACACCATAAGTATTGGTAAAATTGGAGCTGAAATCATCCATTTCGTCGTTTAACACTAAACCGGTCCGTCTGGACAACACTTTACTGCCAAAGCTATCGTAAAAAATAGTTATTAATGAATATCTAATAAATAAAAAAAACTAAATGTTAATCACGTACTACATATTAACAGTGGCCGATATAGCGACCGCATTGCCGTATTTGTCGATAACTGACACGTGAGACGTGCCGTGATCTTCACTCATGAAAATGCGCGGACCGTAATGTTTGGAGTCGTTATATGTTTGGCGATCGTCTATATCATTGTGTACCCGATCGATAAAGTAAGGCGACGACAGGTTATGCATAAAAGCCTCCATATCCTCGAAGTTGTCGTCACCTAAAAACATACGGCACGAAAACGTGTACTTAAATGTTTCCATCAAACGATGGTAAAAAAGTATTGATGTATTTAGCGATTTGAATGCATTGGGATAAAGATCGTCAAAGTTTTCCATAACTTTCATAATAAATGATAATAGGATACCAGTGCCCGGTAATGGCATTGTATGGAGTGTCAGATTTTCTCTCTTGAATTGAGTTTTGATAACATCTTTTGTCGTATCGATTCTGTAATCCCTAAAGTCATCTAATGTTATGATTTCTGAGTGAAACAAATTACATAATTATTATTATTAACTATTAATTAAATTTTTAAAAATGTAATACCATTTTCAGGCCAATCATTTGTGGCATCTTTGATGTCGTCAATGATATCTTGAGCCATACTGTTCTCGTAAAACAGTTTTAATGGATCTCTAGATTTTGCTAACTTTTCCAACGTTTTTGCTAATGTTGTTTGTATTAAAGTTTCATTTTCTTTAATTACTTGACCTGTTTTTTTGTTAAGATATATTTCACTGAATAATATAAAAATGTTTTACAATTATTTAAAACTATTTTTTAATTTAATTATAAGTACTATTTAATTATATATAATTATATATACAGACCCAAAAGCTGTATGATTTTTTATATATCCCTCATTGAGTTTGATAGCGTAAGCCATATGTTCACTAACTTTGAATCCATGTTTGGCATATTTGATGGCACCGACAAATAGCCTATTCCATGATAATCTACCCGATTTTTGATGTAGTTCCCAGTAACCGGCCAATGCTCCTGGCACTGCTATTGATAATGGTCCAGTTTGAGACATTGTCGAGTTTTTATACATGTTTTTGGTGGCAGCTCTGGGAGCTTCCTCTCGAGCATCTATACTATACGATTGCTGTGTGGATCGATTATAAAAGACTATAACTCCTCCGCCTCCCAAACCCATTGATTCGGGAATCACTACACCCATACATAGAGAAACTGCTATTACTATATCAGCAGCCGTACCGTTTAGATCCATAATTTCTCTATAAATTAATTATCTTTAGATTAATTTAGAAATTTTTTGATATTAATTGCATTACTTTCCAACTGAAGCACAATCGGCGGCATCGGTAGAAACGGCCGACTCTTTATAGACACCCAATCGAGACTTTGATATAAATGTGTCGTTAAATTGGTTTGTTTTAGTCAACGAAATCTCAATTTGTGTTATTAATAAATAAATAACTAATAAAATTAGATTTGACATTTTTAATTGTGATATTTAAATTATAATAAATATTAATATAAATATTTTTTATATTAGATACCAAAATTTATGTTAGTTAAAATTATTATTTTATATTAGTTAGGCTTTATATTATTAAAATTGTAACACTGTATTAAAATAAATTAATTAAAAAAGTTTTATAAAATTATTTCAAAAAATAAAACATCTAATTTATAAAGATAGTTAAGTTAAGATAATACAATACATTTGGTATTATTATGAGAAATATTAGATAAAATTTTGAAATAAATAAACAATTTTTGCTGATATGATTAAAACTCAACTAAAAATGGTAAATCATTATTAATTGAAAAACAATTAATTATAGCTTTTATTTTATTTTAATCACATGATTACAGTAAAAATTATGTCAATGTAATTATTTATTATAATAATATAATACAATATAGTATTGAATATACTATATTATAATAATATTAAATTCAACCATGTCATCTTCAAATGTTTCATATTACTAAATTATTTATATTATTTATACATTGTAACTATTAAATATACACATAATAATAACATGATAATCTTAATCTATAAGTAATGGTAACAATAAAATTTATCATTATTTTTATACTAATGTTTGATATTATTGTATTTATAGTCATATTATAAAATTATATTATTAACTATAATTTGCATTCATTTACCAAATATATGATTGAACGGAATGACTGGAAATTATATGAGACACAGTATTAGTCGACTCTTTAATATTTAAGACAATGTCATCGTTGCCAGCATTGAGTGCCACGAGTACTGTCCTGTTGTCAGGTCTGACCAAAGTTACGACAACAAAATTGTCAACTGATTTATCAATTGTATGTTCAATACGTATGGATTCGGGTGATATAAATTTGCTAAAGTGTCCCAAAGCATAAAACGATGGTTGTTTGTATGCCACACCTATTTTGCTGTCTATATTTATAGTGCCTCCATAACCCTGTTTGTCATTCCACCTGGGACCACCATCCATGTCCAATGCCAGGTTCCATTCAACCCAACCGTTCACATAATTATTGAGAGACTATTAAATATAAAGCAAATAAAGATTTAACAATTTTTTTATTACACTAATACCGACTCTAATGATATCATTGGCATATCTTTCTGCGTGATCCCAACGGCCCAAACTCGGACCATCCAAATGACAGGCCTCAGTATTTAGCAAAAAATAATTTTTGCCATATTTTCTATAAAGATCGCCAATGATAAACTCGGGAAAGCCATTCGGGTATTTTAGATTAGCGTACCAATGATATCCTATACCCGAAACATATTTAGCCGCTTTAGTGTCACTCAATATTGTTGATACAAAGTCTTGTATGTGATCGCTGTCGTCGTCGTAAATCATTAATTGAAAACCACTGTCTTTGCCATAACCAGCCGTTTCAAGAGTCGGACCTAAATTAAGTTTTACAAAATCCCTTTCATTTTGTGCCGTTAGGTTTAAACAGTTAAACGGATGCTTAGGGTTAGTTGAGCCCTGAATTGGTTCATTTTCGACTGTAATTCCCCATAAATGAATGTCATGCTCTTTATATGCTTCTAAAAATCTATTTAATTTAATTTTCATCAAAGTTTAAATTAAACAATTAAATTAATTATTTTTTATCACTGTATTTACTTAACAATATATTTGGCAAATGACTGATAGTATTGTCCGCCGACATCACCTCTAAGAGATCCGCTTTCGTTAAACTTATGGTTAGTTTTCATCCAAGAAGGCGGACTCCACGGACTACCAAGCAATTTGAGTTTATATGGACTAACAGATAGGGCTCTCTTAATAAACGGTATCTGAAATAAATAGCAATATTTTAGTATAAAGTGATTGTTATTGAAAAATCCAAACCTTGAATTCAATGTCATCTTTTTGTAGAGCAAAGTGTTTAAGCTCTAGATCTTCGTCGGTGTCATCATAACTATACGGACGATCCGAGTAGTCGGTGCCGGCTATCGGTATGCGACCAATTGAATACTCAATACCATCATCGGAGAAGTAGCTGTCAATTATTAGATTAGCTAATGATTTGTTGACACTTTTAAACAACTGTCCCGTACTGTCAGTAAAGGCTGCACCGAAACCAATGATTGACTGGTATTTAATAGTTTTGTTGATTGTAATGTTAACAGTGTTTAGTGATCCAAACTTAAGGCCAATACTATTAAACTTAAGTTCTGATTGTTTAAACCGATCGCCAATTTTATTACTCTCGAAGACGTTTACAAAACCGTGTTTTGGTGTCTGCAGTGGCGGGAAGTCATCACAATATGTTGAGTTACAGACACATACTGTGTCGGCATTTGGCACCCGCTCTACAATACATTCCCGACGAGCGCTCACAACTAAAATTAAATGAAAAATAAATTAAACATTTATATTAAAAAACAATAATTTTTAATTAAATAAATTACCATAAAATATAATATAGAGATAAATACAAATTAATTGACTAAACATTTTCAAATGTATTAATTTTTTATAATTAAAAATTTTGTATTAAATAAACTCATTAAACAATAGAGAGTTAATTATAAAATCTAAATTTAATCTAAAAATAATAATATGAAATAAATTCATTTATAATTCAATAATTATTTTTTGTATTGTTAATTACTATATAATACAGTCTTTTTGATTATTATTATTATCATTTCATATGATATAAATATTGGAAATTCTCATACTTTGTCAATATATTTATATTATTAATATTATTTAAAAATTGAAAATATATATCTTAGATAAAACTAAATGGGTAATTAAATACAGTATATAAAGTTATATCAAATAATGTAGAATAACCGGACGGAAAATAGTAGTATTTTTAAATAATTTTGAATACAGTACTTAAACTCATTTGTAAAGATTTATTTGTAAATATTAAAAATTTATTATTTACTCAAATTTTTCAAAAAATAATAACTAATAAATAAATTTGTAAGTTAAACTTACGTTTACATTTCTTAATAATTAAGTTAGAGTAAAAATGAGTTAAACTTGCAAATTATTTTTATAATAAGTGATATCAAATTTAAAAATTTTAATAAAATATATTAACAAATGTTTTACAGAATATAATTGTATGCATATATCTAATATAATGTATAATTTGATAAAATTAATTTTATTTCTGTAAATTATTTGTTATTTAGTACAACAGTACCCAAAACATACATACTATAGAAGGAATGGAACAGTTTTTTATGAATCCTAACCGAACCGTAATCGAAGCGAAACTGAAAAATCAGAAAAACTAGAGCCGAAACCGAACCGTAACTAAAATCCACGAACCGAAGGAAACCGAATCGTAATTTAATACATAAATTACGGCACTTTAATTTAAAGTTGATAAAAGGAAACCTTATTTTTATAGAAATATTATTCTATGAAAATATGCTAATAATTAAATTATTAATTAAGTTTTAATTACAATTTTATTTGTTTAATATATAAATATAAATTTTTACTAAAAATATATAAATATCTATATATATATATTATTAAAATTTAATCTAATTATATATAATGTATATTATATAAAGATAAAAATTAAAAAAATAGTAAACTTATATAATAAATAATAATTATAATAATACTAATTAAAGAAAAGGCATATTTAATAATTAATATTATACAGTATTTATTTATTAATATTTTTATATTATATTATTTTAAACTTAAAACGGGTTTAATTTGAAACCATTTTGAATCTAAAATCGTTTTTAAAACAGAAATCAAAACATAGAAACCGCAACCAAATCGGTACTGAAACACACAAACCGAAACACTGGCACTGAAACAATACAAAAACCGTTTCGGTTTTATTCAGTTTTATGAAACCGAACCGTTAGGGTTCATCTCTCTAATACACACTTAATATACTAATAATAATTAAAATAATTATTATTTTAAAGCAATATGGCTTTTATATGATAATACTTTATCTTTAATAAAAAATAAAAAAATATTTAAATAATTATCGTCTCTTATAATGTAAGTTTTATTATTTTATATAACATAATGCTTTTATTATTAAATACATTTAGTATATTGAAATCAATTTGTAAAGTACTCTCAATATAAAAAGTTTTATTTTATTTATTATTAGAAGGTATTTATAATTAATTAATAATAATTTTAATGTAATATCTTTTTCATTTAAATTGACCAGGGTATCGTTAATATAAACTTTTACTAATTACTAAATTTTAATATAACTTATTACTTGTTAACAAATATAATATTTGAAAAAACAAACAATTGTTAATTTTCTATGTAATGATTACCAAAAGTTATAATTATATAACGCTAATGTATAACAAGGGGATTGATTGTTAGTTTGAGAAGTTAGATAAATTGTTAACTCAAACTAAACAATCATTTGCTTATATTTTTAAACATTATATAAATTATTTTATGGTAAAAATTTGATACAAAAAAAATTGTTTGTATTTACTATTAAATCAAATGTTGTATTTATTTAAAAATACTTTTTATTAATTTTTAAGTTAATTAAATTATTATTAAGACCTTCTTTATTAATTGTTTACAATGTTTTTAGAAATTACGAAAAACAAAATTGTTTTTAATTTAATTGACAAAATCCAACCTTATATATATATATATATATATATATATATTTTGATATACTGTACTGTATATCTGTATATACATATATAATATATAGTTTTTGTTGATTTAAGTTAATTTGTTTTTAAATTAAAAGTCAACTTTCATCACTTACTGTACGGTATAATCTAAAATGTATTATTTTTACTACATTTACCTTTTATTTTATTTTTTATTAACTATATTAATGATGATTAGTGTGATGACTGTGTGGTACACTAGTGAATAACTTGCATGCAATCAATTAATCGATAGGAAAAAACATCCAACAAATAACTAATATATATATATYGTATATATAATGCAATGGAAAGCTGAGTAATCAAATTTTGTCAACTAATTGGTACAACTTTGAGGATCACCACCTGCTTGACATCAATGCTATTTATTTTAGAAAAAATTTCCTAAAAAATTCATTTATATTTATTTAGTATTTATTAAATGTCACTAATATTTTTTATTAGAGTTTTTATAATATAGATGTTTAATTAATTATTGACACAAATTAAGGCATATAAAAAAAAGATTAATCCTACACAAAACTTAAATACTACTATTTTCTATTAGTGTAACAGCAACGTGATCTACCTATAAGTTAAGTTGAAGTTAATAACTATTGTTATTTTCATATAAAAAATCGATAAATAGATTAATCAAAATAACTATTTGATATCATTAATGTTGAGTAATAAACTAGAAACTAATATAACCAGCAAATAATGGATAAAATTAAGTGTAGTATAATTAGTTAATACTAATTATCTGAGACAATAAATGAGAACTGATTACCAATGTTGCCAAATGGTCTAAAAATATAATTCAATATTTAATGTATTAATATTAAAATTAATTTATTTATTGAAATAATATATTATTATTATTATATATATAACAGTATATACAGTTGAATATCTGTATATAAACCAGTAGAAGCATAATATCTTTTAGATAGTATACATCCAATAGGTATAATAAAGTTTTTTTTTTTACTAATATTATTAATTGATTTGAAAATATTGAATTAGTAAACCACTAGTGTATAATTGATAGTATTATACAGTATAATATAAATTGCAATATTAGTTTTTCACTCACACACATCACTGGATCCCAATTCAATCAGTGAAAGTGTTTATATTGAAATATAGAAAAAAAAGAAAGAAAGAAAGAGAGAGAGAGAGAGAGAGAGAGAGAGAGAGAGAGAGAGAGAGAGAGAGAGAGATAGAGATAGAGGAGAGAGAGATGGAAAGTAATATAACAGCTCTTATATATCAATAATGTTTTTGCAATACAATGTGAATGCAATATCAATAAAACAGATTGATATTAGATTTCAATGTCTTAACACAAAATCATATGTTGTTTTCATTGACAATATTATTTATTGCTTAATTTAAAGTCAATATTTATTATTATTATTTTAAAAATTATTTAAAAACTAATATACAGATATATAATTAAAATAAATTACAGTATTAAAATTTAAACCTTTATTTCCTAAAATTGATATTTCAATTGAAAACAGCAACAAACTTGAGTATATGATTAAAATTTATCTATTGTGAACTTAAAATAAATTATTTTTTGTCGTTTTATTTATAATTTTAATAATACTAAATATAATTAATGATAGGTTATATTATATAATTTTTACAGTCAATGATTTAATAGTATAAAGTATGCTGTATAGAGTAATATAAAATATTTTATTAAATATAATAATAAAAGTAAGACATTAAGACTCCAGATCTCAGTTAGAGATTTATTATAATAAATGATTTTTTTTGAAAACAAAACGTTTTGAAAATTAAATTAAAAAAAATTATAACACAAATATTATGTTAAAACTTCTGATAATTTATAAAAAATATTGATATTTGAGTATATTTTCATAAATTTTTAGTAAAACAGCACAGTTTGGATATAATATTAATAGTTTTTTTTATTATATTTTAGAGATATTATTAATTTTAATGTATTACTGTATTGCTCTTTAATAAACTTGATCTTTAATGAGTCTTTATACTCTATAATACAGTTACTAAATAATGAAATATTAAGTAAAACACAAATATTATTATTATTATTAATATTTAGTTATAATATTTTCAGATTAAATAAATTTAGACAAAATAATTAGCATATCATTGAATAATTAAATTAATTTTTAGATATATTCATTTACAAAATAACCTTTATTATTAGTAAAATAAATAAATATAATAATTATTCTCATAGATGTTTTTTGTACATTATATTTATTAAAATGAATATTTTTTATCAATGTATTTAAATTATTTATAAAAAATAATCATAATCATAAATAATTAGTTAAATAATCATAAAAATGATCTGTACAATTGGATTAAAAAAATGTTTAAAATTACTTTATTACTAAAACTTTAACTACTTTTACAGATAATTATAGTTTTTAACAATTTAATAGATAATAAATATTATTTTTAATAAAATTACTAAAGTATATTTTAATCTTATGATATTATGACTAACTTATTACGTGTGATAATTGGCTTTAGTTGTTAAACATTAGATAATATTTTCATGTTTTAATGATTATCACTCATTAGATTAAGTTAAAATGTAAATTTATTTACAAAAAATAAATATTAAAAATGTTGGTATTTTTGTTTTATTTTCCATTTTATTCCAACACTTATAAAAATCTGAATCTATTTTATGAGTATAAATGAGACTACAGTAAAATACATGGATTTTTCAAATAAAATATAATAATAGAAATTTAATTTGATTTAATTCAGGGATAAAGTAATGTCACGGTCTACATACGTACATATAATAGTATCTAATATATATATATATATA